CAGCGTCCGCAGCGCTGCGTTACAGGGGACCCCGGGCGCCGCGGGGACACCGTGGGGCTCGGCGTCTGCGCTGGCGGGCCGGGCGGGGGCCGGGGCCGAGGACGCGGGCGCCGAGCAGTGACCACTCACTGTCCCTGATGACAGCGTAGTAACCGCCGTGGTCCTCGCGGTAAGTGAAGCCGGGCGACGCTGTGCGCGGCCGCAGGCGTCTGGCCGTTACCCGCCCACAGTGCGCAGCCGCCGCGGGGCTCTGCGGGCAGGGGCCGCCGTCGTGACTGTCCCTCTCTGTTCGCAGTGCTATGGCAGCTCATTCGGAGCAGGAGGAGCAGTCAGAGGGCTGTTCTCCTGGTCGGCCTCTGTGACTCTGGGAAAACGTTGCTGTTTGTCCGGGTAAATTACAGCTGTTAACCTTAAAATGTTGTGGCATCTTAGTATTCCTGTGATCTTACAGTTTGTTTGTTTGTATGTATGTATGTATGTATGTATTTATTTATTTATTTACAAAAGCTGCTGATGCCAGCGAATTTGGGAGTTAATTCTTGGAAGGACCAAAAGGCCTTTGGAAATTCCGTAAACTAGAATCTTGTGATTATTTGTACTTAAACGTGTGTGTGTGTGCTTGCCAGATGCACACATTTAGTCCTCATCGTATTTATTGATCTGGTTTCATTCGGTGGCTGAGGATGCCTGAACACCTGGAGATGCAGAAGCCACTACCCTATGTAGGGTTCCTATTTCACAGGAACAAGTACTTCTGGGCGCTTGGCAGAGACTTTTTAGGTTTCTGCCATAGGGCGTGTGTGCGTGCAAGAGAGAGAGAGGGAAAGTGAGACATCACGCCCCACACACACTGCGACCCCTTCTCCATTCTCAGGATTTGGGGCTCCCTCGCACCCACACCCTGTGTGATTTTTCAGGCTGGGTCTGGAGTTGGAGTCATGGTTGGCCACCACTCCCACCTGTTGGCCCTGTCCAAGATATTTTTTTAAAGTGTGCTCCTTCTTTGACAGATTGGGCTAGTTAGGCTTTTTTTCACTAATATTTTTATATACTACAGTACTTAGTATTATATTGTATTATATAATTGAGTGTGTGTTTTAGTATGGAGAATAAGAGAAGTTTTCTGTTTTCCTTTATATTTTTGAGAGGTTTTTTTTTTTTTGGTTTAGGTTGCGTGTGCTCACTAAAGAGTGAGAGAAAGAAAGACAGTGAAAGAGAAAGTGAAAAACCACCCCTAGGGTGGGTGGCCAGCCTGCAATCCCTTCTCTGTTCTCCTGGGATCTTGGGCACGTGTGCACGTGTGCCAGGTGTGAGTTTCAAGCCACCAGGTGCAGGACTTAAACCCTGGATGGCCGTGTTAGAGTCCAGTGACATAGCCACTATGCCATCTGCTGGCCCCATTTTTGAGAGTGTTATTTCTCTTCATTAAAGGAGTATTATATTTTTGTGATCTTTAACAGTGTTTACAGAAGGTTCATAAATTTGGCTACTAACCTTAGTTTGAAAACATTTTTTTGTCCCATTGAGGAGAATGAAGTTTACAGAAAATTAGACGTTCGCACAGGTTAAAAAAAAATCATTATGGTCCCTTTCAGCTATTGTAAACAGCATTCACTCATTTGACTTTACACCTCTTAGACCATGCTTACTGCCTGTCTGTCTTTTAGATACACGTTTACTCCAGTTTTTCCATTTCATTTTCACAGTTGCTAACCGGCCTGTACAGAGACACCCAGACTTCTATTACTGACAGCTCCGCCACATACAAAGTGAACAGTAACAGGGTAAGGTACTCCTGGGGTGTCGGGGTCTGACCACCTTATTTATTGTGGTATGTCAGGAAAGGACGTCTTGAATAAATTAGTCTGCTGCTATAGCTAGCATTTGTAGCTTTTTTTTCCCTTTAAGATTGTTGCCATAGGTCATCTGCCCTTGCTGGAGAGAGACAGGGAAAGTAAGAAATCATCCCCGAGTGGGGACGGCCATGCCGCAATCCCTTTTCCTCCTCTCGCCTCTCAGGATTTTGGACACACACATACATGTGCCCTGTGTGATTCTGACAATCTGTGTGGCAGAGTTAATCAGGACAACCTCTGCTTTGTTGCACTTTATGCATAATAATGTTACATCACATTTCATTCTTATTTTTTGTTTCTGTGTCTTCTTTCCAGTTTTACTGTGAGTTCTTAAGAGTTGGTATTAAGCTTTTTTCCTTTTCTCTATTTTGAATAGATAATACATATTCATGGAATAAAAATTCAAATAGTTAAAAAATAATAACAAACAAATTTATAAGGGGTAAATAAAATCAAATAAATACTTTTTTTTTTTTGATATTTGCTGTGACAGAGAGAGAAAGAGAGAAGTGAGAAATCACCTCCCAGGGAGGGTTGCCACACCACAGTCCCTTCTCCTCCATTCTCCTCTCAAGATTTTGGGCATTGGGGCCGGCAGGTGGCATGGCTGTTAAGGGTGCTGGACTCTCACATGGCTGACCATGGTTTGAGTCCCGGACCTGGTGTCTTGCTTTCTTACTTTTTCTCTCTCTTTTGCTCTGTCTCTCTCTAGTCAAATTAAAATAAATAAAGTTAAATAAAATAATTCTTTAAGAAAAAAGATTTGGGATATGCACACATACATGTCCAGTATGAGTTCCAAGCCGCTGGGGCTGGGACTCGAACTGTGGTCAGTCACGTGAGAGTACAGTGATGTAACCGCTGTCATCTCCTGGTCCCAATAAATAATTTTTTAAAAAAATGCACAGGCCTTGTACAAGTTCATAATGAATCCAGCTGGAATCGCGTCAAGTCCGTGACGCTGACTTCCTCCTGCCCAGCTGTGGCCGTGGTTACGCTTGGCTGTGGGCAGGGTAGAGCGTGAGAGGAAGGACTGACGTCTGACCCACGTGGAGAGCCACTCCTGCGTGTCCTCTCACTGAGCACAGCTCTGTCTGCATATTCGGGAGCGTGTAGGAGGAGGGCCTGGAAGGGCGAATCGGACAGACGTGGGGGCTCATTTGGGGCTCGAGAATTGACACAGAATATTGCCAGAGTTGGAGCGAGTCAGTGGGCCGTCTGGTAGACATACCTAAAAATCAGATTAATGATGCTTTGTTGCAAAGTTTGGGAGTCCCAGGAATAGTAATGTGCTCAGTGGTAAATTGTAGGTTCTTATATTCACATCATTCGTTTCTGAATTCTTGTTACTATTTTACACGTTTTCGCTTTTATTTATACTAATGTATCTTCCAAGCCACAGACCACTTTCTCTGACTTAGCCCTGGTAAGACTGGGTTTCTCGTGTCCCCTCAGAACATTTGTCATAGTTGTACTTTGACATGTATCTGTGGTTTCACTTTGCACTCCTCTTTCACATTGTAAGTTACGTTAGATCAGGAGCTGTGTCTTTGCTCACCGCTATAGCTCCAGCACTTGGACCGATGTGTAAGTAGAAGACACCTGTGAACATCGTTTAGTTTGTCCATGAATCACAGTGAGCTGAGTGTTTAAGTTATTAGTCAGGCATAGGTCTGGTACCTGAAATCTGATACTGAAGGTTTCTATTGTGAACAGTGGGACTGAAACATTGATTTAGTGTTATTGCTGTCATCCTCAGGGCAGTAGCCTGACCTTGATTGACCTTCCTGGCCACGAGAGTTTGAGGCTTCAGTTTTTAGAACGGTTTAAGGCTTCAGCCAGGTGAGTAGAAAGGACGGGAAATGGGCCTGTCTGAAATCCAGACTGAGGCCGCTCGTGTTTGCTCTGGTGAGATTTGGGAGGATCAGGGTGACCTGTGGTAGAAAGAGCATGGACCTTGGAGTCAGCCAGCTCTGGGTCACAAGCCTGCCTTCACTAGGATTGGTGGCTTAAATGAAACGGCACGTAAAAAGTGTTTCTCAGTGTTCAACAAGTGTTAACTCTTTGTTAAATTTTGCATTTACTTTGAAGGACCAATAAAATCTGAAAAAGAAATTTTAAAGCTAAGGGTAATGAAGTTATTAAAACCTAGCATTATATAAGTCTATTAAGCTACGGGGGCTGGCAGGTGGCATGCTGGTTAGGGGCACTGGACTCCCACATGGCTGACTGCTGTTTGAGTCCCAGACCTGGTGGCTCGTTTTCTCGCTTTCCCTTTCTTGTTCTCTCTGTCTCTGGTCAAATTTTTTTAAAAAAAATAATGATAACAAATGTTAATAAGTAATTCTTAGAAAAAAATATTTAAAAAGAAGTCTATTAAATTACCTAAAGTTGGGACCAGCAGTTGGCATAATGGCTATGTCGCTGGACTCCCATGTAGTTGACCGTGGTTCGAGTCCCAGACCTGGTGGCTTAAACTCACGCCGGGCGCGTGTGCATGTGCCCAAGATCCCGAGAGGAGAATGGAGAAGGGATTGCGGTGTGGCCATCCCCCCTGAGGGTTGATTTCTCACTTTCTGTCTGCCTGTCTTTCTGACCAGCACACATGCCCTATAGCAAAAACCTCGCCAAAAAAACAAATTACCTGAAGTCGATGCCTCAAGAAACAGAGAACAGTATTTTCGCATTTTTTAGTATCTGCCTGAGTATTGCTGACTCAGGTCCTTCCCTAGAATTCTTGTGCTGCAGTTCCAGACACTTGCTCCTTGTGTGTCCCTAACATTGACGAGCACTGAAGAGGAGAAAGTGGTATGCCACACGTTTTACTGTCTCTGAATGTAGAAGGTAGCTGGTAGTTGTTGGCATAGTATAAAACTGGCAGGATTTCCCCTTTCTTAGTAGGACCCAAAGTAATAGTGCCTTTAAGCTATGGCATCTAAGGTTTGCTGAAACGAGGTAGCTGCTGCTTTTTCACTGAAGCTGTCGACTTAGATTTGGTTATTGCTCTGCTGTCCACAAGGTGGTGGTAATGAGCAGTTTGTTGCAGGGAATGTGGTACTCACTCCTCAGACGGTTGAGACAAATCCACAAGTGGTAATTTTGCTATAACTGAGTGTTAATTTCCAGTTTTTTAAAAAGAATTATTTATTTTATTTATCATTTTTGTTATTTTCAGTTTGACCAGAGTGAGGCACACAGAGAAAAAGAGAAAGCAGGAAAACAAGCTGCCAGTCTGGGACTCGAACTGTAGTCAGCCATGTGAGAGTCCAGCACCTCACCACCATTCCACCTGCCAGGCCCAAATTTCCAGTTTTAAAAAATGTTTTCAGGCCAGCCCCATAGCCTAGTGGTTAAGTGAACCAGATCCTGCATGGGCAACTGTGGTTTGAACCACCGGTCCTGGTGGCCTGAAAACCGCCAGGTGCATGTGCATGAATACGCAGAGTCCCAGCAGGGTGGAGGAAGGGAGGAGAAAGGACTGGAGTGACCACAACTTTGGAGATGTGTTTTCTCCCTTTCTCTCTATCTGTCTCTCTGGTGTGTGCGCACACACTCTGGCATTTAAATTTATTTTTCGTTTTCGGGACCAGCAGATGGTGTAGTGGTTATGTAGTCTACCACTGTTTGAGTCTTGGACCTGGTGCCTTAAAAATCACACCGGCTTGTGTGAACGCATGCCCAAGATCCTGAGAGGGGAATGGAGGAGAAGGGATTGCGGTGTGGCTATCCCCCTGGGGATGATTTCTCACTTACTTGTGAGTGCATGCACCCTATAGCAAAAATCTCTCCAAAATTTTTTTTTCTCTGTGTTGTCATTTCTAAATATTTTACAGTTTGCAATGTAATGACTTTGTGATCCAAGTATTTTGAGTAAATTTAATGTTTAAATTATGAAGATAAAACTGAGTTATGGGGCTAACTCTGGTACAACGGTAGTTCACGTCTCAAGAGAGGCCAGGTCCCACCTGGTGACTGCAGTTCAAATCCCTGGTCCGGATGGTCTGAAACGTGCTGGGCAGACACACAGGTGGCCAAGATCCAGGGAGGGCTGGCGGGCGGGCTGTGGAGTGGCCAGGCTGGGAGTGCTCATCTCTTGCACTCTCTCTTTCACTTTGTCGTAAAGAAAGAAAAACAATTTAAACTGAGTTCAAATAAATTATAATTACAATAAATGCACATCGAAAAGACATTTCCTAAATTGGTTTATCACTTAGTTTCCTTAATCCTTCCTCCTCCCTGCTAGTCTAAAATATGCTTCTATTCTTTTCATGGTTCCCTTCCCTTTTTAAATCCTTGTCAGTTTGAAATCAATGTCACTTTATTTTTCTGAACCACCAAACACTTTAACCTTGAACTTCCTCACATTCTCCTTTTATCTGTGCTTTTTTTTTTTTTTTGAGAGGTTTTTGCTATAGGGCGTGTGCGCTTGCCAGACAGACAGAGAGAGAGACAGAGAGACAGAAAGCAGGAAATCACCCCCCAGGGGGGATAGCCACGCCACAATCCCTTCTCCTCTCAGGATCTTGGGCACGCACGCACACTCGCCTGGCGTGAGTTTTAAGCCACTGGGTCCGGGATGTGAACCGCGGTCAACTACGTGGGAGTCTAGCGACATAGCCATTATGCTAACTGCTGGTCCCTATCTGTTTTCCTTTCTAACACTCCAAGTTAGTCATTTTCTCCTGCGTTCAGTGACTCCCTAAGAGTTAGCAGAATGCTTATGATTTCCTTGCTGCTTGCCTTTTTCTCTTTCCTTACAGATTCCGTTTTTCTTTTACTGAGTACATTTTTTAGAAATGTTTTCAGAAAGAGCGAATGAATCATGAAATTTCTCATTCTTTGTTCATTTGAGACAGATTTTCTTTGGCCCTCATTTTCCTTTCTCACTCAGTGCATAAGAGAGGGAGAGTTGGGGGGACACCCTCCACAGGGCTCGGTCACCGCAGTCCTTTTCCTCCATCTTGCCCGCCAGGACCCTGGGCAGATGCTACCTGCGCCTGGTGTGTTTACAGGCCACACCAGGCCAGGGACTTGAACTATGCTTGGCATTTAGCTTCCAGCTTGCAGCCTGGTATGCTGCCAGCTGCACCACAGAGGCTGGGTCAGGTCCTCGATTGTCGTGAGTATTTGAGCTACGCATACGCCCGGGGTGGCAGTGGTCTCCTTCACCACATGGAAGGCCTCACTCCTGGGGCACACGCCTGCAGCTACAGAGGAGAAGGCCGTCGTCAGTCTGTCATTTCACTATAGGACATCTGTGTTTCAGTCTATCCAGGGTAGGTTTTCTTCTACTCAGGGCCGGGTTTAAATTTACCACGCTTGGAACTCAAGTGTGTTTTTCTAGACCAAAGATTCATCTCTTTCTGTAGTTCTGAAAGATTCTGCCTTTTTTTCTCTAGGGAGTGCTGTTTCCCAATCCACGTCCTGGAACTCTTACCGACAGTGAGCCTGACTATCTCTGCCCCCGCCCCCGCCACCTCCATCATAGCTTCCGATTCTCTCTATCTACCGTGTGTTTTTTTTTTTTTTTAATTTTATATATACATATTCTTATTTTATTTTGACACAGAGAGAGAGAGAGAGAAAAGAGAGAGAAAGTGAGAAAGCAAGCCACCAGGTCCAGGACTTGAACCATGGTCAGCCATATGGGAACATCCAGCGCCTTAACCACCACACCACCTGCTGATCCCTCTACCGTTTTACATGAGTCCCTCAGACTTGTTCTAGTCCACTACATTCCTCTCAGTGGAGTAATCTCTTACTTTTCCAGTGAGTTATTCATTTCAATTAGCATATTCTTCATAAATACTTATAATCAGCCTGTTTGTTTTTATATGGTCTTTTTTTTTTACATTATGGTTTCTAATATTTATTCTCTTACATTTTTTCAGTGGTAGCTCTGGTGGTAGGACCCCACTGTGCTATATTGGAGCGTATGGGAAGGCCTTGGGGTCAGATCCCAGGTCAGCCTGAATGTGCTGGGCAACATGTGATAATGGCAGGATCACGGCATGGTGGGACTGCGAGGGTGTCCCCACCCACCTCCTTACACAAAATCAGTACCCTTTTTATAAAAATTGTGTATGGTCTCTTAAATAATTTTAACCATTTACAGATTGCTCTGTTATTTCCCATCTCGGTGTGCTGATAATTCTCCCTTTGGAGTGCTGGTCGTTCTCCCTGGTAACTGTCTATTTTCCTCTGCGCTTCATCATTTTTGATCCGGAATCCCCCTCCAGTTGGGCTGTGTTGTTGATGCTGGGGCTGGTGTACCTTCAGTTAGAGAGTGTTGTTGATGCTGGGGCTGGTGTACCTTCAGTTAGTGTTGTTGATGCTGAGGTTGGTGTACCTTTGGTTAGAGAGTGTTGTTGATGCTGAGGTTGGTGTACCTTCAGCTAGAGAGTGTTGTTGATGCTGGGGCTGGTGTACCTTCAGCTAGAGAGTGTTGTTGATGCTGGGGCTGGTGTACCTTCAGCTAGAGAGAGTTGTTGATGCTGGGGTTGGTGTACCTTCAGTTAGAGAGTGTTGATGCTGGAGTTGGTGTGCCTTCAGTTAGAGAGTGTTGTTGATGCTGAGGTTGGTGTGCCTTCGGTTAGAGAGTGTTGTTGATGCTAAGGTTGGTGTACCTTCAGTTAGAGAGTGTTGTTGATGCTGAGGTTGGTGTGCCTTCGGTTAGAGAGTGTTGTTGATGCTAAGGTTGGTGTACCTTCAGAGTTAGAGAGTTGTTGATGCTGAGGTTGGTGTGCCTTCAGCTAGAGAGGGTTGTTGATGCTGGACTGGTGTACCTTCAGGTTAGAGAGTGTTGTTGATGCTGGGGCTGGTGTACCTTCAGGCTAGAGAGGGTTGTTGATGCTGGGGCTGGGGTACCCTTAGGTTGATGCTGGGGCTGGTGTACCTTCAGGTTAGAGAGGGTTGTTGATGCTGGGGCTGGTGTACCTTCAGTTAGAGAGCCTCGCTCCAGGAGGGGCCACAGGAGTATGCCCACTTTATGTGAGTCTTTCTGCTTGAGGGTCTCAGACGTGGAAAGAGACTAAATTCATACCCCGGGTCTCTGTGAGGCACTGGAGTCCTGGTCTTTCTTTTGGAGTTTCCAACCCCTGGGCTCCATTAGACTGCTTTTCAGTCCTGGGCTTTGTGCAGGGGGTTCGCTTCTGGCTCCCCAGTAGCAGGCTGGCCATGGCATGTCTCCTGTCTCCACCTGGGCATTCAAGCCCTTGCCCTGAGGCCTGTTGTCTAGTGTCCCTGGGCTTCTGTGCGTGAGTTTGCCGTTTTCCTTTCTGGCATATGAGGGTTCTTGCTGTGCCTTAGGTCAGGCCCCACCTGGTCACACTGCTTCTAGTCCGGTTGCCCTCAGAAAGCTCTGTCTTCCATGTAGGCACCAGTGTTCTTCATATGCAGGGAAGTATATTCACTTACAGGTCAGCGTACGATGCCTTCACAACCCTACCTGGTGCCCCACTTCCCCATCTTGCTGTACACCAGCTTGCCTCCCCATCTCCGTGGTGTGTTTCAGCCCATCTGTGCAGTGAACACACTGTTTTCCAGAGACTGTTGTCTGGGTAGAATTCAGCTCCACCGCTAGATTCTCCTGTAAGTCTTCCTGGAGCTGGCCTCATTTCAGTGGTCTTCCTCTGCGTTCCTGCTACACTGCAAACATAGCTCTGCCCTGGCCTTCAGCATAGGGTTCACTACGAGGAGATTTCTTGGTCTTTGAGAGCAACATGATCTCTCACTGTCGTTTCCTCTTCAGTTGTTGGTGCACGGCAGCACCCTGTAGTTCTGCTGGGCGAGGGTTTGTGCTGTGATCCCATGTACACCGACTTCCTCGTGTGTCTGCTGCATGATATGCACAGGATCGAATTAGAAGAAATTCACCATGCGGCTTCCAGCTAACGGTGCACTGCTGCGTGCTCATACGTGAGTTTCTCTTTTTTTCTTCTCCAGGGCTGTTGTGTTTGTTGTGGACAGTGCATCCTTCCAGCGAGAGGTGAAGGATGTGGCTGAGTTTCTCTATCAAGTCCTGGTTGACAGCATGGGTCTGAAGAACGCACCGTCACTCGTCATAGCCTGCAATAAGCAAGGTGCCGTCACGTTTTCTGGAATCATTATGGGGATTTTCCTAGGATTGCTACTGGAAATTAACTCATTTATCTCTAGTGCCATTGGTATAATTGCTGTCACAAACTCTAAATGGAAGGGTTTCAAGTCTTGCATTTTATTCCTGCTTCTACCTTCTCAGCAGTCTTCTTAGAGGGTTGGCAGGAATGGCAGCAGAGGGACTGCTACCAATTTTTCCTGGATACAATGTGTTTTTGTTTTTTTAAAGATTATAAATTATTTTACCTTACCATGTTAAAGTCATCATTGACAATACCATGTACACAGTTTTGGAGGGACAGGTTAGAGTTATTTTTTAGAATTTGCTGTAGGGTGCACTTTCTGGCTGGGAGAAAGAGAGAGAGAGAGAAAGTGAGAAAGCACTCCCTGGGGGCTGGCCACACCACAGGCCCTTCTCCATTCTTCTCAGGATTGTGGGCATGCATGCACACGCACCCAATGTGTTTTTCAAGCTGCTGGGTCTGGGACTTGAACCACACAGTCAGCCATGTGGGATCCAGCTGCCTTAACCACCACACCACTGGCTGGCTGAGTCTCTCCTTTCAAATAACTTTACCATCCGGCAAATTTTATCATGAAGATTTTGAAGCAGTTGTTTTCCTTTAAACTGATATCCATTAAAAATTTTCTATTCGTACCCAAGAAAATTGGGCTTCAGTTTCATTACCTATGAGATAGACTAGTTGATCTCTTCCTGTATGGTATGTTTTAGGTTTAAAGTTCTGATTCTGGGGACCAGCAGGTGGCATGGTGGTTGCAGCTTTGGACACTCAAACATGGCTGACCAAGGTTCAAGTCCCAGACCTGGTGGCATGCTTTCTCACTTTCCCTCCCTGTCTGTCTGTCTCTCTCTTTCTCTCTCTGTCTCTCTCTCTCTCTGTGTCTGTCTCTAGTCAAATTAAAATAAATGAATGAGTAAATTAAAAAAAAAAGATTCCCATTTTCTGAAGAGCCTAACATTTCTCAGAAGTGATCAGATTATAATCCTAGTAATGCCTAATTAGGAATATAGTTACTGGCATCCAAGCCTACATGGAAGACAAAAAATCTTTGTGAGCAGTCAAACCAGAGGCAGCGTGACCAAGCAGGGCCTGACCTGAGGCACAGCAGTAAGAATCTTCATGTGCCGGAAATAAAAGCAGTGAAGCTGAAGTCTGACCTCTTAGTTGCTCTTGCTCAGAATGAGGAGCGAGGTCAGCGTTTGTTTGGCATGAGCTCTGTCTCTCACCCGAGGGTGCTGGGTGCTTTACCACGTCGTCTTCGTGTCTGCAGGGGAAACGTGCCGTTTACCGTGAAAGGACAGGAAGGGTGTCATCTGTGGGGATGAAGGTTCTTGTTACAGCCATAGTACTGGTAGGTTTTCTTTTTGGTAAACTGACTGGACTTATATGTGTATTGGGTTGAAAGGTCTATAAATATGGAAAACTTCAGTCAAAAAGCTAAAGTCAGGGGCCAGCACGTGGCATGCTGGACTCCCACATGGCTGACCGCGGTTTGAGTCCTGGACCTAGTGACTGGCTTTCTTGCTTTTTCTCTCTCTTTGGTGAGTGCATGTGCCCTACAGCAAAATTAAAAATAATAATATGATGATGATGGATAAAATGAAATAATTCTTTTTTAAAGGAAGCTAAAGTCAGTTTTAGGATCATTGACATAATATATTTGTATTAGGAAACTCATGTGCATGTATAAAGCTTACTTTGATAGAGAAGGAAATAGTGATAAAAGTGAGGGGGGAGAACTAGGAATTTTTTATCTGTGCGAGAAATCTTGGATAAAGACCTATTCTGGTTTAAAATGCAAACATGTTTTTCTTTTCAGATATTGCAATGGCAAAATCAGCGAAGTTAATTCAGCAACAGCTTGAGAAAGAACTGTAAGTGAACGAGGCGCTCGGCTAACCACGTTCTCAGCACTTGGACGAGCATGTGCTCGTATTCTTGGTTACGCACAGTGAACACAGCCACAGCCTGGAGCTCGGTGTGAAGTGTGCTCGTTGAGTAACGCACAGAGAGTCAGCGGGTGGTCAGTAACGCACAGAGTCAGCGGGTGGTCAGTAACGCACACAGAGTCAGCGGGTGGTCAGTAACGCACAGAGAGCAGGTTGTAAGCACTGACGAGATGTTTATAGATATTTAAAATTTCATGGAAAGATTTCTTGAAATTAATTTTACAACTGTTACTAATGCATTTGTAGTCAAAACGAGAGGCTTTAGAGACTAAGAAATCCTGCGCAAGTCGGAAAGTGTTAGTCAGTGAATGGAGGTGCTTGTCCACCACACAGGCAGGCGTATAACAGTGCTCAAAGACACGTAAACAGCAGTGAAAAATGAGAGTAGTTGAGCCTGTGAGTCAGTGAAAGGAAAACTAGAAAATTTCAGAGCTGTTCAAAGTTACCGTTGATAGAGTAAAGAATACTTGGGAAGAATATAAAAATCTGTGCTACTCTTTGTAGCTTCTTAAATTGTTTTTAAGCTACTTGGCACAGTAGTATTTATCACATTTGTGGTATTTAAAAATTTGTAAACTTAGCTGTAAGCTCGTGAATTTTAAGGCGTCCGGCGTTTCTTTGTGTGTCAGTTTATGGCAGCTCGCTTTGAGAAATGATCAACATTAGAGTAAAGCGAGTTATTCTTGCTTACTGCTTTTGTGGAAGGACTCTTATTTAAGGGTCCGATGGGGGAAATCATAAATTTAACTCTTAGAACACTTTCCCCCGTGACTTACGTACTCCTTTATTCATTTACCAAGCACTAGCCGAGCATGCCCTGCACTCAGGAGGATGTGGTGGATGGAGTTCCTGTTCTCAGGACTCGGAGTCTCGTAGAATTTAGTCAACCTCAGGAGTTGGCAAAGTCCTGCCCAGGGCCTGCAAGCCAAGAGTAGTTTGACATTTTTAAAGGGCAAGTTTAAAAAAAAAAAAAAGAAGCAGAAAAGAAAAATATGCAACAAAAACCAGATGAGGCCCACAGAGCCCAAAATGTTTAACTTCTGGGTTTTGCAAAACAGTTTTTTCATCTCTGATCTATGCCGTTTTCCATAGTTCCTGTCCCTTCTGAAATGTCATGTTTATCACTCCCTCTGCCCACACTCTTTTATTTATTTATTTATTTTTAAATTTACTAGAGGGTATGTGTGCTTGCTGGAGACAGAGAGAGATAGACAGAAGGAAATGAGAAGTCACCCCCCAGGGGGATGGTCATGCCTTAATCCCTTCTTCTTTGGGGATTTTGAGCACTTACACGTGACTGCCATATTTTTCAAACAAGCTGGGTCCAGGACTCAAACCACACACTTGGCTGTATGGGATGTAGCCGTCTTAACCACCACGTCCCCAGCTGGCCCTCTCCCCATACACTTGATATTTGCTCTCTGGAGGTTGTGTGTACTGCTGAGCATCAGGCGAAGGACCATGGAACAACTAGATGACCTGTTTTTTCTAAAAATTGTGTGGGCAGTCGGGCATTGTTGGGAGAACAAAAGCTAGCATAGTATTTGTCAGTCTGGTTTTTTAAAACAGTATTGTCTTAAGTCTTCCCATCTTCCCATGTTTTCCTTAAGCCCATTCGCTTTCCACTCCAAGGACTGAGAGGTGAAGCAATGTAAAAGGAGCTGCTCACTTCCCAGCAGTGCCGTAAAGTGCCGCCAGGTCGTGCAGGTCAGCATCAGGAAAGTCAGGAGCACGCCTCATTTTAGCTTGGTCCTGAATTGTGAGAATTAGACCTTATCAATTTGGAAGCATTTCGTACACTTCAAATAATAAGGTGTACTGTGTTTATGCAGCCTTGTGGCAAAAGCTGAAGAGATGTAGTATTTTCCATTCCCTTTTAAAATTTTTATTGTAAGACATAATCTTATAATATAGATGTGTTTATATGACGATATATATTAAGTTTAAAGAATATTATAATGGATACCCAGGTACTTCTAAGCATGTTTAGAAGACGTCTGTATTCTTCCCTAAAGTTGTTTTTCCCCCAAAGAGATGAGATCCTGAGTTTTGTGTTACTCGTTTTTTAATATATCTTTATTTTTTTTGAGAGGTTTTTGCTGTAGGGCGCGTGTACTCGCCAGAAAGACAGAGACAGACAGAAAGTGAGAAATCACCCTCTGGGGGGATGGCCACACTGCAATCCCTTCTCTCGGGATCTTGGGCATGCACGCACATGTGCCCGGCATGAGTTTGAGCCACCAGTTCCGGGACTCCCAACTGCAGTTGACTACATGGGAGTCCAGCGATGTAGCCATTACGCCAACCGCTGGTCCCAGTTTTTTAATATATCTTACTGTGCGTGTTTTTAAAAAAGAGACTGCTTAGTTTGGCCTGTGTATTCTTCACCAGTTATTAGCAGGCTTACCCGAATTAAGAAATGCTTTCCCCTGTAAGACTGCACGTTCTCTGCGTTTGGATGGTAAAAGGTGGAGCAGGTCAGCAAGAGAACGTGGCGTGGCGGCAAGGGACGTGGTTGGGAAAGCATCCTGGGCAGAGGCTGGAGAGTAGGAATGTGCTCAAATTAGAGAGGAGTCTCGGGTCAGTGGGTATTTAAACTCTAAGTAGACTCGGCATAAATATCCTTCCTGGCCTGCCGATGGCGTGGTAGTCTAGGCACCTGGATCCCACATGGCCAACGTGTGGTTACAGTCCAGGACCCGGCAGCCTGGGAGATGCTGGGTGTGTGTGTACACCCAAAATTCCAAAAGGAGGGAGAGACGTAGAACTGACTACAGTGACCACCCTGTGGGGTGCTTCTCACCGCAAGCACACATGCCCGCTAGTGAACTAAAACGAAGTGAAGACGTACCCCGTCTGCCTAGGCCTCACTTAGAGACTCAAGGTGTGGTAACAGGTACAGCATGGACTTGACGTATTTTTAAATGGCAGTATTCTGGCAGTCCTCTAAGAAGGGGCCCCGAGTGTGACCTGGGTCTACTGCTGACCTGCTGCCAGCCTGTGTGTAGGCCGTGCCCTAGGCTGCACCCGCCCCCGCCCCGCCACCTGTCTGTGTAAGACGGGACCTAGATATGCAGAGGATGACTCAGCATTCCTGATGGCATAATTGATGGTTTCTTGATCAGAACTTTACACGAGTGTGAACATTGAGGAACGAACCTCGTCGCTGTATAAAACGTGCTCTGCCTTGTTTCCTTGTGCTCTAGCAACACCTTACGAGTCACCCGTTCTGCTGCTCCCAGCACACTGGACAGTTCCAGCACCGCCCCGATGCAGCTGGGAAAGAAAGGCAAAGAATTCGAATTCTCACAGCTGCCGCTCAGAGTGGAGTTCCTGGAGTGCAGTGCCAAAGGTGGCCGGGGGGACGCAGGCTCCGCCGACATCCAGGACCTGGAGAGATGGCTGGCTAAGATCGCCTGAGGACGGCTCCAGAGCCCGGAGTGCATGCGCGTGTGCGTGCACCTGTGTGTAACTGACAGTTCGGGGAAAGAGGCTGTGGTAGTCTGGAGCTCATAAAGAAAGGGAGGGTACAAAGCGTGGTTTAGAAATATTTCCTCATTCTAGAAACAAATCACTGTTGAAACCAGCTTGGGTTTTATTTTTGTTCTTAATTTTCCCCGTATGGCTCCCTTTCAGATGAGTTCCTCTTGACTCTAGACTCATACCTTCCCCTTTGTAAGTGTGTGAGACCCTCCCAGTGAACGCCTGCCGTAGGGCCACGGTCTCCGACACCGAGTGGACTCCAGGGAGACGTGGTGTTACGAGATATGGCTTTCACCTGGAAAGGCTTTACCTTTTGCTTCTGTGCTTTGGCCCTTTTTTTCTTGGAAACAAATCTGCCTATTTATGAAACCAGTTGATTCCTAGCCCTGTGTGACTTCTCAGGTTTGTAGGTACAGTACCGTGTCGCTTCCCCACAGGTGGCGGCAGGTCCAAGCCGCAAGGTGGAGCTCACACCCTACGTGGTTACTCACACTCAGCCTCGGCACCTACGATTCGGAAGCCTGCCGTGAACTCGTGGAGTGGTTCCCAAGGGAACTGGGAATGGAACTATGAATGTCAAATCCCCAAATGCCGAGGGTCCTAGAGTGTGCAAGTGTCACTGTGGAGCGTGTGCAGTTTTGACATTGTCCCGCCTCTCCAGGTGTCCCAGGGCTCCTGGGCTACCTCCGTGTGCTGCTCTATCAGTCCCCGTTCTGTCCCCTAACTAGAATGTTGTGTAACAAATACAAACAAAGTCCCCTAGATTTATTTCTGTTAAAAAGAATGTTGCATTTTCAGTGAGGTTCTTTGCTGCCCTAAACACAGCTTTTTTGTTGCTTTAATAAAGGATTAATGCATTTCTTGGTGAAGCAAACAACTGGCTCAAAGCAATTAAGTTGTGTGGTGAGTACAGACGGGGAGGCACGTTAGGGTTCACACAGAAGAATGCACGGATGCATGGTATTTTATTGATGGCAAGATAGTCGAGTTATTTGACAGTATTAAATATTTCTTACTTCAACACATTGCAGTACTTTTTAATTTGCAAAACTGTTACCGTAATGCAAGTTCCAATTGAGACCAGGAAAAACAAGAATATTCATTGGCTGGCTTACTCCAGGTGTTCCTGCGCCTCCAGATGGTAGTGTACATAGAAACAGAGTCTGCGATCCCTACCTCACGCACTCAGGGACAAGCCCAGCTGAACGTTACAAGAAGACAAGGGTGGCTGTGGGTAAGTGGCCTTGCAGGATCGCGGGGAGAGTCAGGATAAAAGCCTGGGGCTGGTGATGTCCGTGTGCGTGTGGTTCCTGAGGACCTTGCAGCCCAAGCCTCTGCCTGCTGTCTGACATCCCATCCTGTGGGTCACTCAGATACACCTCATCTCAGACCACCACCGTTCCTGGCAGAAGTACCCCAGGTCCCCACCCCTGAAACAGCCTTGTTGGTGTATGAAACAAATACAGCATGCAAGGGCTGGCTCGGTGGTGCATCAGTGCAGTGCTGCTCTAGAAGATGGGCCCACGGGGCGCTGGCTCAAGTCTCTGGCCTGGTTGGCCTGAAACATGCTGGGCACATGTGCAAGTGCCCGAGATCTGACAGACTGGAGGAAGGGAATTGTAGTGCGATCGATTCCGGAGGGTGCTTCTCTCTCTCGCACACACATACACGTGCTCTGTCATGAATAAAGAAGGTGGAGATGACAGAATTTGTCAGGGTTCTTGTTTAAAAGCCACGTTGATCAAGTGTTCACTGTCTTGGACCTGACTCACCCTTTTTTTCTTAGCCAAGTAACAGGGAAGTAGGTGAGCACGATGACCCCAAATCAGAGGGGCCTGGTCAAATTTTTAAAAAATAACGAAATAACTTTTTTTTTTAAAGGCAGTGGCTTGAAGTTTTATTAAGAGGGCCAGCCTGTGGTGTGGTTAAGGCAGCAGGGTCTCATGGCCGTGGGAGAACGTGCCGACTGCGCATGCACAGAGGCCCGGCAGAGGTGGGGGCTGTGGACCCCCTCCGGAGAGTGTTTCGTCGTGTCTCCCTCTCCCTGTGCACCCGTGTGATCTCTGTTGTTTTTTTGGTAAGGGCATTTGTTCTCATCTTTTTTTTTGTCTCATACGGCGTTTTGCTTTATGGGAGGAAGCAGCACACCAAACAAGCGAGTGAAGGGGGAACGAGGTTGATTTTAAGGCCTAAAGATGGTCTGAACAGGTAACGTCGTACCTAGACTGATTCTCGGGTGCTGGTGGGCATCACAGCTGGCAGCGACACTCATTTCCAAGCTGATCTGAGGATCCCCGAGACTTCCTATTGCATGGCAGGTTTGCACGGGATGCATCCTTCAGCCTTGTTATGTCACATGCGGCTCCTGGGGACACCCTTGGGGGTGATCATCCGGCTGTGCCCTTAGTATGTTGTTTTGACTTCTTTGGTTTTTTTAGAGGTTTTTGCTATAGGGCGTGTGTGAACGCCGGAAAGACAGAGACAGAGAGATATAGTAAGAAATCATCCCCTAAAGGGGATGGCCATGCCACAATCTCTTTTCCATTCTCGGGATCTTGGGCACGCATGCACATGTGCCCGTTGTGAGTTTACGCCACTGGGTCCGGGACTCGAACCACTGTTGGCAACATGGGAGTTCAGCGACATAGCCATTATGCCAAGCGCTGGTCCCATTATGTTGTTTCGTCTTAAATGAGCAAGAAAGGTGCATCCGACAGTCTCAGCGAGCCACAGCCCCCACAGCCCATCAGCCAGCCAGGTTCGTGGACGTACGTACGTTGACGGGATCGAGACCCAGGCCCTCCCCCTGGCTCCAGCATTGCACAGCAGTGTCACTGCCTGTGCCACAGGGCTGGACCAGGTACGTTTGAAGTGTTTGGGGTCACGGGTTCTGTTAGGCCCAATGGGGTGAAGTAGCAGAGTTCGTTCTGAGAATCCTCGTTCTGCTTCCTGCTGGGCTACCGTCGTCGTCTTTGTGCATTTGGGCCAGGATGTGGTCACGGCATCTAGTCCATGGGAGCTGGGGAGGGTATTGATGGGAGTGCAAATGTGCTTCCTGCTCAGCTGGCCCTGAAGCCGTTCAGCTACATCGGCCCATTTCTCCATGAGAGGGCAGGCGAGTATGGCGAGTGGAAAGACGGATGTCAGGTCATGGGGACAGGCAGACCACGCGCAGCCAGGTGTCACGGACTGGGTAGCGCTTGAAACGCCTCGGGACTTGGCACTGTTGGGCCACCTTGTGTGTATGGGCGCTGAGACCTGTACCAGGATAGCGGCCACCTGAGGTCAGGGGCCTGCGCCTGCTAAGGAAAGGCAGAGGCTGAGGGATGCCACTGGAGGGCAGCTGTGAGGAGTAAGCCCCGGCACTCCACTAAGTGTGTGCACTTCTGTGGTGGACACTTCGGTGGATACAGAGCACACCTGCACACCGAGGGGGTCCAGGTGGATACGGAGCACACCTGCACACCCAGGGCATCCGGGTGGATACGGAGCACACCTGCACACCGAGGGGGTCCCGATGGATACGGAGCACGCCTGCACACCGAGGGGGTCCGGGTGGATACAGAGCACACCTGCACACCAAGGGGGGTTCAGGCACTGGCCATACTCCTCTATTCCAGCTCTCGAAGGAGGCTCAAGGATCTTGGAAGCTTGTCTTGCTAGCAGGTGCCTAGCCATCTGCTGGGGCAGGGTTGGGGGGGCAGGGTTGAGGGAGGCAGGGTCCTAGCTCCTGATCAGCAACAGCTGCTGTTAGTGAGGAGTCCCTGGGGTCCGCCACTTCTCATGGCCTCCAAATGTCTCCTGGGGTGCCAGTGTCCCCCTGTGATCTTCCCGTAGAGGCACCTGGCTCTGCTCTGTTACCTTGACATCCCTGCACCCAGAATACTACGCTGTTGCTTTTCCTTTTACGTCTTGAGTTCAGCAGAGTTCACGCTTCAGCTGGTTCCCGTCCGTTCTCACCTGAAGGCCATTAGCAGCGATTAAGATGCATCCCTCTTCTGTCTCAGCTCTCCACACATGTAAAGAAAAGTAGTGGGGGGAGAGGATGGAGTAACAGGAGGTGTGGTGGTTAATGTGCTGGACTCCCACATGGCTGAGCAAAGATCCAGTCCCAGACCTGGTGACTAAAATCACACTGGCTGTGTGCACATGCGTGTCCAGAATCTCAGGAAGAGAATGGAAGAGAAAGGATGGCCACCCCGTCGGGTTACGATTTCTTTTTCCCTCTCACTGGCTTTCTCTGGCGAGCACATGCTTCCTAGAGCAAAAGCTTTAAAAAATAAAACAGCCAGCAGATGGTGTAGTGGTTATGTTGCTGGACTCCCACGTGGGCAAAAGCAGTTCAAGTCCTGGACCTAGTGGCTTGAAACTCACACCGGTGTGTGCGCGTGGGTGCCTAAGATCCTGGGAAGAGAAGGGATTGCGGCACGGCCATCCTCGGGGGCATGGGGGAGGGAGGTGATTTCTCCCTGTGTCTCTCTCCCTGGTGAGTACAAACGCCCTAAGTAACAAACAAACAAACAAGCAAAAATTAAAAACCCCACCTCTCTAAAAGTAACAGAAGGGATCACACTTTCTTCTGTGCAGGATGGTAATCCCACTTCCAGCTGGACTGCACAGCCCTAATTAAACTCATGCCCTCATTCGCTCGGTGCATGCCCAGTGCTGCGCCAGGCCCCGGGGTACTCCAGCGCCTCCTGCCTCTGCAGGCAAGCAGTGCGCCTGTTCAGTGGGGCTCCCAGCACAGGCTCCGTTGTGGCTGTGCTGGGCTCTGGGCGCTGCATAAGTGCAGTCAACCGCCCCAGTGGCGCCCTTGACACCACCCTTGTCCTGCCGTGCCAGCCAGACGGTCCCAACACCCCGACAGGGCTGCCACTTGTCTCCCCGTGGCCCTGTGCCAAGTGTCGTGTGAGGCCCCTGGTCACGTCCTGTTCACTTCGTTATCGTTCCAAGGATAGAAATCACCATCAGCTGGAATGCACGTTGCCTTTGTTTTTGTTTTGTTGTTTCGCACTGTCCCCTCTGCTGTCGCAGGGAGGAGGAAAACCGCCCTGGGCAGCGTCCCTGAACACCCCTCTGTGCACCTTAGGCATCTGTCACCCTCACACCTGGGGAGTTCTGACAGCTTCCTTCGTCTGGCAAAGGCAGGGGCTGCTGGAGAGCAGCGGGTGCGAAGCCCTGCCCAGTGAGCACTCGGCTCCTTTGCACTGGAAAGCCTTGGCCTGAGGCCATGCCAGGGGACGCCTGCGTGTCTCCAGCCTTACTCTGGCCTCGGTCTGGCCCATCCAAGCATCTAGCCACTCAGCCCTCTGCCACGACACGCCTGCGCTGCGCCAGAACAAGTAAGGCCGAGTGGGCAGGGACACCCACTTCCTCTGCCCTCTAATCAGAGAAGACTTCCTTAGGATGGCAGGCTGGAGGGCATTTAGAACCTTTCAGACCTTTAAAGGCGAGAGTAACTCGTGAGGGTGGGCTTGAGCAAGAGCGAAATTCCCGGCACCCTCAGGCCAGGGCAATCCTGCACCCATCTGTTTCTCGGGCCTCCTTGGCTTGGTCCCAAACCACCCTGGCTTTCAGGGGATCTGTGTGGAGACGACTCAGACCTGAGAGGCCTCTGAGGGATGCTCCCTAGTGGGTCAGGATTGGGGTGGTATATGGCAGCTCGGTGTCACCTCAGGGTGATTACGGTTTGCCTTAGATTCAGGTCTTTACAGGACCAGCGGTTGGCATAGTGGTTGTGTCACAGGACTCCCACGTAGTTGACCGTGGTTCGAGTCCCGGTTCCAGTGGCTTAAAACTCACGCCAGGCATGTGTGCGTGCGTGCCCAAAATCCCAAGAGGAGAAGGGATTGTGGCATGGCCACACCCCCTGGGGGTGATTCCCCACTTACTGTCTCTCTGTCCCTCTCTGTCTCTCGGGCAAGCACATGTGCCTTATCATAAAAATCTCTAAAAATAAAGAAAGGATTAAGGTCCTAAAGTTGCTTTCAGGATAACACCAAAGGGCAAAATCCAGCCCCT